ATTTGCTTTTCGCCCTCGAACCAAACAGGTAATTTTCAATTATCTGATTTAAGATCACATTATTTATTGATAAATATATTCCATGTGATTTGGAATTTTGCAGAGAAGAGCTGTCTTTGAGGCATTACTAAGGTGTGCAAGGCCTCCAAGGCTGTGGGATCTTTACACTTTTTCTTCTGGGCCTTCAAGATTCAGCAATACAAGCCCTAGAGTGCGTCTGGTGAATGAATACATACGCCTCCTTGGAATGGAATCACATATTCCATCAGTAACCTCCATTGAAGATGGTTCATTCACCTTGTCTAATGATTGGTGGAGAATCAGTGACATCAATGCAAACTATGACATGTGTCCAACTTACCCTTCTTCTTTACTATTACCAAAATCCATCAGGTAACGCATGTATGTCAATATGTCAGTTGTTTTCCCAATTCCCACTTTCCAATTGTTTCAATCTTGTGTTAACTTTGTCTGCTTGTTGATTTTTAGAGATGAGGATGTGCTTCAAGCTTGTAAATTTCGTGCACGTTGTAGATTACCTACAATATCATGGTGTGATGCACGTAAGAAAACACATTTTTGTTTGAAAAATTCTTCAAAATTTATATCACTGGCATCTGATTGATGCTCTAAATTGTAATCACATGTAGGCACTGGAGCTGTTCTTGCAAGATCTTCCCAACCACTAGTTGGGCTGATGATGAATATGAGAAGGTAATGCTGCTATTACTGTTTACTACCCCTGAGAATGCATGGGTAAAATTGTCTTATAATTTTTTTTAATGCAGCAATGCTGATGAAAATCTGGTGGGTGCTCTCTGCACTCAACTGTCTGGTGGAAAGACAGGACGCAGGTAAAATCATGAATTTTCTATGATCAATTGCTTCACTGGTTAGTATATTCTTTCTGATCTAATAAAATTAATATTGTTTTTTTTAGGAAGTTATATATAGCGGATGCAAGACCTCGGAAAAATGCATTGGCAAATGGGGCAATGGGAGGCGGATCGGAGTCGTCTTCCAATTATTTCCAGTCTGAGGTCTGTCAAAGGTTTGAGCTATAAATAAATATGTTTTTTGTAAAAATGTTAGTCTCCATAGTTTTAAATTGCTAACATTGGGTTATGTTTTTAGATTGTGTTTTTTGGGATAGATAACATCCATGCTATGAGGGAAAGCCTTGTTCGCCTCCGAGACTACCTGGATACACATGGAACCAAATCTTCAGATGGAATGTCATCGTTTTTGGTATAATTGTACTTTTTTTTTTTTTTTTTTTTTTTGGAGTTTGAAATTTCTTATATCTATCTTGAAATGATTAATGTTTGAACAGAGAAATGGTGGATGGACATGGGGTGGAGGTAATTTAAGCAGTATGTCTGCTTCTGTATCGACACTTGGTGACAGTGGTTGGCTAATACACATCCAGAATGTTCTGGCTGGATCTGCTTGGATTGCTGCTCGTGTGGCAATAGAGTCTGCATCTGTGCTTGTTCATTGCAGGTAAAGTTATTTTGCTTTATTATCTTTTTATAAATAAAAGGTATTATATTTATATGATTACAAAATAAATAAAGTATATAATAATTGTTTTTGTACAGTGATGGATGGGACAGAACAACACAGCTAGTTGCACTTGCAAGTTTGTTGCTTGATCCATATTATCGCACCATAAAGGGATTTCAGGTATTCAATGGAAATATTGTTCATGTCAAAATAGGATATAAAATTTTAATACTTTTATGCATGTAGGCACTTGTGGAAAAAGATTGGCTTGCATTCGGGCATCCATTTTCAGATAGGGCAGGAATGGCAAGCTTATCTGGGAGTGGTTCAGAATTACCCAGACAGTCTTCAAGTACAAATTTCCCATCATCACCCATGCGTCAAACAACTGGTTCATTCTCATCACAATCCCCAGCTTCTACACAAACACAAACACAGACTTCAAACAATTATTCTCCAATATTTCTTCAGGTCTCTCACATGTATCCATGTTCATATATTTTATTTTATTTATTTATTTATAGATCGTTACTTAACGTGTTCGTTAATGTTGTATCTCACAGTGGGTCGATTGCGTCTCCCAGTTATTACGAATGTACCCTTTTGCATTTGAGTTCTCATCGGTATGTTTTTTTAATGAAGACAGTAATAATTATTTGTTGTTTTTTATCATGTAACATGTCTTGCATTGCAGGTTTTTTTGGTTGATTTTCTAGATTGCATGCTTTCATGTCGTTTTGGGAACTTTCTGTGCAATAAGTAAGTATAACTTTCAATTTTACATACCAAGCATCACAATTTATAGTTTTTTAGACGCCTACTAAAGTAAAAGAGTTGTGATTTTTGTAAATCAGTGAGAAGGAAAGGGAACAATTTGGTGTTTCTGAGGCGTGTGGGTGCATGTGGATGTATTTAGATGATTTACGTGCTTCAGGGGGAAATTCTCACGTGCACTACAACCTCTTCTATGATCCGTCAAAACACAATGGCCCTTTACTACCACCAGCTGCCGCCTTAGCCCCGACCTTGTGGCCCCAATTCCATCTCAGGTGGTCGTGTCCTTCAGAAGCTCAAGCTGGTGAGGTGGAAGCTCAGTGTAGGAATATGGTAGAAAAGATCTCTGAACTTCAAAAGGTAAATTTCACATTTGAAATTTCACAACCACCTCCATTTTTTATCTATATTTATAAAGCTTTGGTAATAAAATGATATTATATATTTGTATGAACAGGCAAAGGACGTGGCTGAGAGGAAAGCAAGAGAAGCGATTGCATCAATGGAGGCAGTGAAAGCGGAGATACGAAACGAAAAACAAGTGAGCAGTTCAGCCATGAATCTGGCAAGAAAAGCAAACAGAGAAAACGATATGATAAAGAGAGCCATACAATCACTCGGGTGTAGGATTCATGTTTCTGGGAATGATGACTGTACAATTGACATTGAAACCAATGTAGCCGACATACCACAAAGAATAACATCATCTTCAATGAGGGAGACAGGAGGTAGTGAAGAAAAGACGGATATGCCCATCTCGGTTACCATAACTGCTGATAACAACAATGATGTGTCTGAGAACCCGATTCTTAGGGTTTGTGAGTCTTTGTGCCCGCAAAGGACACGGGAGGGAGGGTGTAAGTGGCCTGATGCTGGTTGTGCTCAACTTGAGAGCCAGTTTGTAGGTTTGAGAGCCAACTATGATGCTTTTGACCGTTTGTCTATCTATGATAGCTACTTTCAGCCAAAATGACAAATGACAAATTTACCCGTTAGGAAGAATAGGCGACATTCGGGATATTGTACAGTCTAGTCTGAGGGAGAAACAAGAACAAAAAAACCACTGGATAAAGAAAAGTATCAAGCCCTAGTTTGAAAGGGAAAAACTTGCTAAATTATATTCTTGGATGATGTTTGGTTTTCGGAATGAATTAATTGTACAGGAGGTGCTCGTTTCTCATGGCTCTGTTTTTGAGGTGGACGGTGGGTGGTTGTGTACACTGTACAGATTGTTGTTGGTAGGTAGGTACTAGGTACTAGTTATTAGTGTAGGGGTATTAATTAATTCTGAAACTATAGATGTAAAAGTAGTTCATCAACATTTTTGTTGGTTAAAACTTCAAAACTTAAAACAAGCAACTCATACTAGATATTAATGTGCTTATGTGCTGGTTTCATGCTCTTTTAATTTTGTATTTTATGTTGCATTTCGATATATAAAGCATAGGATGTATTAAGGATTACGACCAACGATTAAATTCCGGGTTTTATACATGGTAAAAACAAAGAGTACACTCCTCCTTGATTATGTGCCATTTTACAAGTAAACTGAATCCAAAGACCATTTTACATGGCTATTCATCGGCTCCTGATGCTGATGCTGATGCTGCTGGTGGTGAATCTTCATTTGATGGCTTCTTCTTATTTGCCCTTCGCTCTTTCCATCTTGCCAACACCCATCTCAAAACGAAAAAACCTCCAATTGCGTAAACCTGATTTCAAATATCATCTTTATTTATTAATGATCAATGATGAATGATGATGCAATAATCCTACATCACCTAACCATAATTGCAGTATGAAATTTCAATAATATCTTCTACTATCTTTGATTGTGCTCAAAACAGCATAATTCTTTTATTCCCACTGGATTAACGAGTATATTTTCTATAGAAGGTTGAGAGATTGATTACCTTCAGATAGATGAATTCAAAAAAAGTGTTACGCATCCATTCATACCTGCCAAAGAACAACTGGATTGGTATCTTGCTCCAACTCTTCCGCTTCGACCTTCAACGGAGGAACTGTCGTCGTCCGAGCATCAGGAAACCTGACAACCACCGGTTTCGACACCTCTGGCTCCACCACTTCACTACTGCGAAAAATTGAATCTCCGCTCCCTTTGCTCTCCGTTTCCACCTTCACTACGTCTTTCTCCGCCGTTGGTGGTGGTGGAAAACGGGAGTTAACAAATTTAGTGAACTTCGAGATGACCGAAAGCAAAGGATTAGGAGGCCCACTGGATTCGTCCTCGGGTTTGCGAACCATCGAAGCTCCTTTCTCCGCCATTGTTTTTTCAGTTTGAAGAAATGTTATGTGTGACTGTGAGTGTGAGCGCGCGCGTCAAAACGGTGGAGATTCCGTAATGGAGATGCCTGGAGGTGCGTTTGGTGAAGCTAACGAGGGTGGCACTCAGCCACTCGCTATACAAGACGCGTGTACAGCATGACAGGGTAATGCGGGCCTTAATTTCTTGTTCTAGGCCCATCTTTATTGGGTTTAATGACCCATTTAATAACTTTTATAAATATACAATTATAAAGTATTTTAAAAGTAAAAAAAATCGTAGAAAAGTTGTTAAATACTTTTAAAACTTATAAATTATTTTAAAGGTGATAAATATTGAAACTGAGTTTTATTTTTGCTATTTATTTAAAAATTTGTGAAAACATCATTTTTGTGATTATTTCTATTAAAAATATTTTTTATATAATAAATTAGTTATATTTCAGTTTCATAAAAAGCTGTGGAAATAAATTTATTTCAACGGTTATGTGGAATTTTAATTAATTTATTTATTTATTTATTTTTTGAAACTGCAAAATAGTTAATGGATCCATTTTATCTCTTTCTTTTCTATTTCGTGTACCAAACAATCTCTCAAATTACAGTATCCACGTCATCCAGTATCAAGTTGGGAAAAAACCTTGGAAAAATAACAATTTTGTGGGGACCATAAATAATCACGCATGAGAACTTGTCCCAGTGCCACGTGTACTTGGGTTTATCTAATATGAATCCATCTTCCAGAGCTACAAATGTCGAACTCAAAGTTTAAAGCTCTAAGGATTTGCATCTTCCGCTTAATACTTGTACCTTTTTTGGAGATTCAGCCATTTCAGACGTGAAAAAAGGACCTCTCTCTTTCTCTGATGATCTGGATCTTAATCGGCGACGGTTCTCCCTCCACAAACAGAAAGTCTGCTTTTCATCAGACTCGTCATTTCGCACTCTTAACACAACGATCGCTTATTTTTTCCAATTTGCTGATAATTAGTAGTTGTTTGTAGTAGTAAATTCATCGGAGAAAATGCATTCCCATCACTTGCAACTCGAGGAACCTATCCGAATGGCTTCAATTCTCGAGCCTTCTAAACCTGTAAGGATCAAAGTCAAACCATTACAATTTCGATTTATTTTCATTTTTTTTTTGCTGTTCTAAGCTCCCAGGTCAATAATTTTCAGTATATTTCAGTAATCGTGTCTCTGATTGCTTGAATTTCGAACTTGTGAGATTGCCAGAGGTTTTATGTAATAATTTTCGGTATTAGATTAGATGTTATTGGAAAAGTTGAGACTGTTGTCTTTTAATTTTCCTTTTCAACCTTTTCCTAAATGTAAACGAGACGCCTGCTTGATTACTGTTGTCTAGAGCTTCTTTCCCGCCATGACGAAGATCGTCGGAACCCTGGGCCCGAAATCGCGATCCGTTGAAATCATTTCGAGCTGCCTTCAAGCTGGGATGTCAGGTGATCTTCACTTTCTACTGTTTAAGTCAGAATTTAGAACTACCTCGGGTTTATAGGAGATGCATTTTGACTTCACGGTCAAATGTGTCAAAATTTTGAATTTTGACTTTCTCAGGAGTTTATATTTACCTTTGAAGATTCAATTCTCTATTAATACTTCATTTTCCTGCAGTTTAGCATATTTTGGTTGTATTCATTCAAATATCCAAGCATCTGACTCAGTTGCTTATCATGTGAAAACACAAGATGAAATACATCTATGGTTTTGGAGGATTTTGCTTTGTGTTTATCCTGTTTATGTTATGGAAAGTTGTTGAACTTGTATAGCTGAACTAAAAACTGAAAATGCTTTCATTAATTTGACAATTTTTCCATAACGAACTTGCTGATGTATTGTCTTAAGTGTTTAAGTGTACTACAGTACTGAATAATCTATCTTGGAGTCATGTTGTCCCTGAAACCTTCTTATCTCTCTCTTTTTGTATGTGTAGTTGCAAGGTTTGATTTCTCATGGGGTGACACGGAATTTCATCAAGAGACACTGGAAAATCTTAAGCTGGCTATCAGGAGCACAAAAAAGCTATGTGCTGTAAGTTTGTTTCCTGCACCAAAAGAATGAAAAACTATCTGTCTGAATATCACTCACTTGTTAAGTCAGAATATGATAATTATATATAAGTTTATTTGCATCCTTTCTACCAGGTGATGTTGGACACTGTGGGTCCAGAGTTGCAAGTTGTGAACAAAACTGAGCATCCTATTTCTCTGGAAGCAGAAACCTTGGTCATTCTCACACCCAATCAAGAAAAAGAAGCCACTTCCAATCTTTTACCAATAAACTTTAGTGGGCTTTCAGAGGTAAATAATTATGTTGAGATTGTTAAGCTTGATTCAGAATATGAGAGCTTCAATATAAACTTTATGATATTGCTTGGACTTTTATCTTTACAGGCAGTGAAGACTGGTGATACAATATTTATAGGTCAATATTTGTTCACAGGAAGTGAAACAACTTCAGTATGGTTGGAGGTAAGGCAAAATTATAACCTTGGATGATTTGCAAATTATCAAATTTTGATTTATATATACACAGGTAAATGAGGTGAAAGGAGAAGATGTTGTTTGTTTGATAAAGAATTCTGCTACTCTATCTGGTTCGTTATTCACCTTGCATGTATCCCAAATACGTATTGAGTTGCCAACTCTCACTGATAAAGATAAGGAGGTGAAGTTTCTCTCTCTCTCTCTCTCTCTCTCTCTCTTTTTTTTTTTTTAGTTCCATTGAATGTTTCTTATCATATACTATTTAAGTTGTAATATTTATGGAAAATTGAAGGTTATTAGCACATGGGGAGTGCGTAACAAGATAGACTTCCTTTCTTTGTCATATACCCGTCATGCAGAAGACATTCGACATGTAAGAACTCTTCTTCCTACCAAGTGATAATATTTAGGGTTTTTATTGGTTGAATAGAATGCTGATAATATATAGGATCTATTTGATTTAATGGAATGATGATTGAAATCATGCCAAGATAGTGGAATTTTAACACTGGTCTATGTATCATTTAATTATAATTTACAAAACTACAACATTAAACATGTTTCAGCAAAACCAAAATAAGAATATAATAAAAATATACTAGCATATCTTCTAGTTTTAAAAGCTAAAATTATAATCTTCTCCATTATTCTTGTGATTCTATCATGCAGGCTCGTGACTACCTCTCGAAATTAGGCGATCTGAGTCAAACTCTGATTTTTGCAAAGATTGAAAATTTTGAGGTGCGATGCCCACATTTTTCGAGCTGTATGTAATCAAATTGTCTCTGAAATACATATGTGAATTGGTTTTTATTGTAGGGCCTTACCCATTTTGATGAGATCCTACAAGAAGCAGATGGTATAATCCTTTCTCGAGGAAACCTTGGCATAGATCTACCTCCAGAGAAGGTTCATTTTATAACTCAAAACTTTAAGATTGAAAGAAGTATTGCTCAATTAGAATGAAAATATTTCAGATCATCCACACTTTCAAAAGTGGCCTCCTGTCTACACTAACTACTTCATGCTTTTTAACACATACTATATCTTAATTAATTGTAACTAATAAATATTTCTGTTTAGGTGTTTTTGTTTCAAAAGGCAGCTGTTTACAAGTGTAACATGGCTGGAAAGCCAGCAGTGATTACGCGTGTTGTGGACAGCATGACCGACAACTTAAGACCCACTCGAGCAGAGGCAACTGATGTTGCCAATGCCGTATTGGATGGTAACTTAGTTGCTTTATTTTATGGTGTTTTTCATTTTTTTTTTATTACGATGGAGAAAAAAACATGTTTCATTAATTTGATATTCTTTTTCTGGTTCAGGAAGTGATGCAATTATTCTAGGTGCTGAGACTTTGCGAGGATTATACCCGGTTGATACTATCTCCATTGTTGGTAAAATTTGTGCAGAGGTAGATTTCCTTAAAGTTTTTTTTTCCTTAAATAATACCATTCTAAGATTACTTTATTAACTCCTTTAAATCTTGTTTGCAGTCAGAGAAGGTATTCAATCAAGATTTATACTTCAAGACAACTGTTAAATATGTTGGAGAACCCATGTCCCACTTGGAATCCATTGCTTCCTCTGCGGTAGTATTCAATTCAAACTTTCCTTTTCGCCTCAGTTTTGGGTCTTTTTAATTTTTTTTTATTGATCTAGGTGCGCGCTGCCATCAAGGTCAAGGCTTCTGTTATCATCTGTTTCACATCATCAGGAAGAACTGCAAGGTCTGTATGTAAGCATTGAGAGAGAAAAAAAAATTGATGGGGTGAGAGAGGCTCGAACTCTCGACCTCAGGATCACTCTTTAGCTATGAGACCTACGCGCTAGCCAACTGCGCCACCACCCCATTGTGATTAACAATCTGATTTTATATATTTGTTATCGCAGATTGATAGCAAAATATAGACCAACAATGCCTGTCATATCGGTTGTCATTCCTCGGCTCAAAACAAATCAACTACGATGGACATTTACTGGCGCTTTTGAGGTACACACAACACATTATCAAATGGTTTAATTTATTTACTCACGTAAAATAACACATCTTCTATTTCTAGGCAAGACAAACTCTTATTGTTAGAGGTCTCTTTCCAATACTTGCAGATCCTCGACATCCGGTAAGATTAGAACACTTCTCCAAAATCTCTTTTTACTTTAGTGCCACATCAGCAATCATATATTCATATACCAAAGTCTTCTCTACTTTTATGAGAACTCAATGGAGGCACGATTTCTTATTTTATATTATTCCATTACTTGGAAACAGGCCGAGTCAACAAGTGCAACAAATGAGTCAATCTTAAACATCTCATTGGATCATGGAAAAGCCATTGGTCTCATCAAGTCACATGATCGTGTTGTCATTTGCCAAAAGGTTGGTGATGATTCTGTCGTCAAAATCATCGAGCTTCAAGAGTAAATCATATTTCTGATTCGGCTAATCAACAATTTGACATGTCTGTACAATAAATACACATATTCTGCAACTAGCCAGAAAGAAAAACAACCAGATTATGTTATTCCATTTGAAGTATTCATCACCCAGAATGATTCAACAAAACTACCTAATAATCTTCATGTATCCCTTTTTCCCCAAATGATACCAACAAACGAGACTTGTAACATAACATAACAAAAACATCAAAAACAGATCAACCAACAACAAAACGCTACAAAACAAACATCAAATAATGCTGTCTAATTTCTAAAATCTACCCATGTTTTGCTTGAAAATCCTTCATGAAAGCAACCAATTTCTCAACACCAGCAAAAGGCATTGCATTATAAATCGAAGCCCTCATTCCACCAACCGATCTATGCCCCTTTAATTGAACCATATTCTCTTTAGCAGCTTCCTTCACAAACTCACCTTCCAATTCCGATTTCTCAAGTGTAAACGGCACATTCATCAACGACCTCACAGATTTCTCAACCGGACACCTGTAAAACCCTTTGCTCTCATCAATCGCATCGTAGAGAATCTGCGCCTTCTTCATGTTATTCTTTTCAACCTCCACCAAACCACCCTGCGCCAACAGATCTTCAAACACCAATCCACACATGTAAATCCCGTAACAAGGTGGTGTGTTGTATAACGAATTGTTGTCGGCGTGGATCTTGTAATCCAACATCACCGGTGTAATCTCTTGAGCGTTTCCGATCAAATCCTTCCTTATGATCACTATCGTGACACCAGATGGACCGACGTTCTTCTGAGCTCCGGCGTAAATGATCCCGAATTTGGAAACATCCACCGGCTTTGAACAGAAGTTGGAGGACATATCAGCGATTAGAAGCGCGTCTTTGTTTTTAGGTGTCGGGTAGTCTTTGAACTCTACGCCGTGAATAGTTTCATTCGCGCATATATGCAAATACCTGGCGTTCGGGTTCTGATCCAACTCATCGAACGACGGAATCGCGGTGTATTTCTCCGATTTACCGGACCAGATCACCTTAGGCTTACAGTATTTTGTTGCTTCCTTGAATGCCTTGTCACCCCACGACCCGGTCACAATGTAATCAACGGGATCTTCGGGTTTACAGATGTTGAGAGGGATGCTGGCGAATTGGGTGGTGGCGCCGCCTTGGAGGAAGAGAACGGCGTAATCTTCGGAGATATCGAGTAACTTTCTCAGATCTGACTCTGCTTTTTGGATGATTGAGAGGAATTCCTTCCCTCTGTGACTCATCTCCATAACACTCATTCCAGCTCCCCGCCAATTGTAGAGCTCCGATTCGGCTTTCCGGAGAACATTTTCGGGCAGCGTGGCGGGTCCAGCAGCGAAATTAAAAACCCGATCTTGAGCGGAGGCCGAAGATGGTGGTGCAGCGACGGTGGCGGAGTATGAACATGTGATTGAGATGGGCTTGTTGGTGGCGCGTTTGATCGGGAAGGCATGGGTGGAAGGGGTGGTGGTGGTTGAGGTTTTTAAGATGCTAGGGTTTTTCAAGAGGAGGGTGTGAGGGGTATTGGCTGACATTGCCATGGCTGCCTTGAAATTAGAAGGTTGGATGCAGATTTTGAGGGCGTGTATGTATGTGTATATATAGGACAAAATATAAAAATAATAATTAATATATGTTTATATGTTTATAAAATCAATTACTATATATTTAAAAACAAACATTTTAAGATAATCGCATAAATGTATCGCATTATCTTTAATCACAAAAATGACCAAATGATTGTTCATAATTATAGAAAATGACTATGATTCACTGTGAATCATTCACATAATCTGAAATTAGTTTTTTAGGACCTAGATCCTATTGATTCGACCCATTTAGTTGTCGATCTATTAAAAAAAAAATCCAAAATATACACTACATCCCTTAACGGCATTCCATACCCTCTCTAAGATTTGGAAAGTTAATATATCTCACCATTATTAGACTCTGATATTTCTTATGGTGTTCAGGTTCTTAGTCTATATATGGCTATATGCACAAACTTAGAAAATCTCATTTAAAAATTACTTTGAGACTATTAAGATATTTGAAAAGCAATCCATGAAATTGGGTTGCTTTGTCTAAATCTAATGGGTTTGAGTTAAAAGGTTTTATAGATGCAAATTGTGCTAAGTGTTTATCCATAAGGAGGTCTGAAATTATTTATATGATTTAACTTCATAATTCACTGGTTCATGGAAGAGTAAGAAACGATCTACTGTTTCTAGGTCTTCTACTGAATCAGGTATAGAGTTCATGGTTTCATTACTTGTGAAATAATTTGGATTTTGAAAATTATGTTTGAATTGGGTATAAAAGATCTTACTCATGTATTTGTTTTTTTGTGAAATGATTCAACAATTAAATTGGCTCTTAATTTGATTTTTCATGTAAGTACTAAGCATTTTAAAATAGATCTTCACTTTGTTAGAGAAAAAATCTATAATGATGTGTTGAAAATGGTTAAGATCAGTTCTTTTGATCAAAATGTTGACATTCTTACTAAATCATTATGTTTTACACAACCTAATTTTTTGTCAAAATAAAATAGAGCTTATTGATGTTGTTAAAAAGAAAAAATAAATATTTCGATTGAGGGGGGTGTCGAAAATACTAGGTATTTTTTAATATTAAATCTCATATATATTAATTAATTATTAAGTTTAGGTGTTTTGTGTCCATATTACAATTCCTGGTTTTGTCGCATTAATCAAATAATTTTTTTTATAATGAGTTATTCCAGGTATTTTGGGAATGATGTGGATTGCGACTCGCTTCTTTCAATCTATAGGTATGACACGCGGATCTTATCCATGGATAATATCCAAGACCCGGGGTATAAATTGGTGAGATGTGAAGGGTTTCGTCATATCCAGATCATTTTTGTGCTCCTAATACTCTCTCTCTCTCTCTCTCTCTCTCTCTCTCTCTCTCACTTGTTAGGGTTTCATAATTGTAATGTTTTGTGTGATTTATCATCCTTTTGTTCTTGATCATTGTAGTGTAGGTTGAGTGTTTCATTCTAAGAGTATATTAGGGTTTTGTAGTGAGGTTTGATTTGTAAGTAACTTGAAAACCTTATGTTTCTTAATCCTCAAATGATATAAGAAACGTTGATGTTGGGAAAATTTAGTTTATCGTTTTTTCACAAAAATGATATAAAATTATGCAAAATGATAGGAGGACCTTATAATGACATTCACTCACATATAAGTTTTAAACAATATCAAAATAACCAAAACACAAACTAATTTAAAAAAACAAACAAAAATAAAACACTAGACTTGCAATTGTTTTCTTTAATTGTTTCTACATATTTGGGTGATAGTGAGTCATCTTACTCAAAAGCATTTTGCATTTCAATAATTTTCTCCTTGTACCAATTATTAAGTAGTAATTCATCATAAACACACAAAATACGTACAATCTCTATCACTATTTGAAAACATGAGCAACCAAATAAATACTTACATGGGTTTTTTGTTAGTCGAAAAAACTATAAACATAGCTTGAATATCACAATGGCATCTAGGAAATAGTTGAGTTTGAGTTTGCATTGGTAAGTTTGAGGCTTGAACAAGAGTGCATCGTCATTATTAGATTGGTTGCCATTCCCTCAACCCAAAATGCAAGTTTAATGAAAATGTTATTTGAAATATGAAATAAGCAGTTTGAATTTGAAATCATGTATGTAATGTAATATCATAGTTCATATTCTTTTAGTCTCGTATTAACGATCTTCTAACAGTTAGTGTGATACAAAATCAATCAGTCTAAAACGTTCTATTTTAAAAAGAATGGTCATTATATAAATTTCTTCAAGAAAAATGGTTATATTAGGTCACATTTCTAATTATTATTTTTATAATTATCCCAATATGTGATGTATATATGGTATATGTGTGTAATTATACATGTACGGTCTTTATTTTTTGTTTTTAAAAAGAGATAATGATTTAAAAAGGTAATATGTTTTTCGATTTAAAAAGTCTTTATGACCGATAAAACTAGAAAAATACATTATATTTTTAAATCATTATCCCTTTTAATCATTATATTTTTGAAGGAGTAATATATTTTTGAAATGATAAATATGAAGAAAAAAAAATCATGAAGAAATATGTAAAAATAATTTTGTGAGACCGTGAGACCAAATCTAAAAATAATTTTAAAATGCAAAATAAATGGAAAAATCCAAAAATTCTTTTTTTAAATATTATTTTCGGAACTTGAATTAACTAAAAAAAAATATAAAAAAATAAAATAAAAATAAAAAAAATCCGTTTTTTTTTTTTGAAAAATACGTGAAATATTCTAAATAGAATATTACACTGATATATTCTAAAAAATAATTTTAAAATGCAAAATAAATGGAAAAATCTAAAAAAAAAATTTAATATTATTTTCGGAATTTGAATTAACTAAAAAAAATAAAAAATAATAAAAAAAAATCTATTTTTTTTTTAAAAATACGTGAAATATTCTAAATAGAATATTACACTGTACATATTCTAAAAATAATTTTAAAATGCAAAATAAATGGAAAAATCAAAAAATTCTTTTTTTAAATATTATTTTCGGAACATGAATTAAGTAAAAAAAAAAAAAAAAATACGTCTCACGGTCTCACAAAATATGGGTGGTCTCAAATGAACCTAACCCTATATATATATATATATATATATATATATATATATATATATATATATATATATATATATATATATATATATATATATATATATGAAAGGCAATATACCGTTGTGAACATAGACAGAAATGTTCCTTGAATTTTATTAAGATTGTAAGTTTTGGTCGTCTTTTTATTTTTATTCAATTTTGACCCATTTTTTAAGTCAAAAAACAGTTTTGTACCACTTCTATTTTTAAGTTCAAAAAAATAATTTAGGCAAAACCGGAATCACCTACCAGTTATTTTTATGCACTGAGAATAATTGTGATATATTATTATGAATTATGATGATTGTGAACCACAAATCTTATTGATAAATATACTTTCAAAACCTATGTCAAGTCAAAATATTAGATCTATTTTTAAATAGAGTAAAGTGTAAACTACTTGGTTGGTGAGGGGCCTGGAATAAGTAAAAGCAGCGGTGTGTGCCGTCGTTTGTTGGGTAGGTGAGAGAGTCACGTTCCCAAGAATACCCTTCCTTTCTACATAATTATCGAGTTTGCCATCCTTGGACTTTTATCTATTCAAATTACCAATTAAAAAAAAAAAAAAAAAAGACTATTTTACAAGGTTAATATTTTATTTAAAAATCGTTGTTGCTTCCTAATATTGCGATTGTCAAATAATTTGTCAAATAAAAGTAGTTTAATCCCAATTGTGGTACTTTCGGTTTCATTCATCATAATTATATTTTCTCTTCCAGAACACTGATTTATTTGTTTTTATACGACTTCAATTTATTTTACAAACAGAAATATTCCAGTTGTAACAAAGAGTTAGCTTTAATTTGATTTTACATTAACGTATAGTCTTGAAAGTTTTTTTGCAAAAAAATAATTTAAATATTATTCGAAAGGATCTTTCTTTTGTTTGTCACATACCCAAAACATGTTTTGATTGACCTTGACAAAAGTCCTTTTAGTTAGACCAGGATTAAATGTACCATCAATTTCGATATTAAGAGGTTAAAATAATATAAAAGCAACTTAAACCAACGATTCAAGTGTGTAATTACACACCTTGAATAGTCTATTTAAATTAATTCCAAGTTAAGAAACAAAATAGAGAACTAATAATGGTTTGATATCATTCGATAATGGTTGATTCCTGTAAGAACTAGACATCTAATTTAAAATTCGAAATTTCTACATCGAAAATATGAAAACATTTAGGCACTGGTAAATTTGGTGACGACCTTGGTACCTTCAGAAACAACGTGTTTAGCCAATTCAACCGGAAGAACAAGTATCACAGTTGTCTGAATTTCCCTAGAAGTGATGGTAGACTTCTTGTTATACCTCGCGAGTTTTGAACATTCCTGTGCCAATTTCTCAAATATATCGTTGATGAATGAATTCATGATCCCTATAGCCTATCCTGAGATTACGATATCAGGATGAACTTGTTTCAGAACCTTGAATATGTAGATCTTGTAAGTCTCCACCGACTTCTTGTTCTTCTTCTTCTTTTTATCGGTCGTTGATGCATCCTTTGGTAGCTTCTTTTCAACTTTCGGTTTCTTCTCTGCCGGAGCCTTCTCCACAGCTGGCTTCTTCTCCGACGGTTTCTTCTCAACCGCCTTTGGTGCCATTTTAAATGAGAGACGAATGGAAAGTTGGCACGCTTTTGTGTAGGTATGAGGACTGATGAAGTAAGAGATGATGATAATGGAAGTTGATGTTGCAAAGGTTGGTTTGTTGGAGAACTTCTAACAATTTACTCAAGCGAACTATTTTTTACTAGTGAATGGATTCTCGATTTCGGTTGTTTTTTTTAATATGTGTCACAACAAAAGTTGGTTTTATAAATTTGAAAAGATTAACAGATGACCAAGGCTCAAACCGTACCAAGCCCAAAATAATGTTGGTGTTTCGTGATAAACAACTCGCATTGGTTTTGTGTAGGTTTATGTTTGCCGTTCAAATTGTAGGTTTACCATTTTTAAAATAAAGAAGCCTAAAAAATCGTCAATTCAACTAAAAATCAAGCATCACAAGTCCCAAAAATCTCACACCATCATCATCTAAATCATTTATCTCTAATTAAATACAAGACACTAATGTTAGACAATTTGTGATCTTATACACCTTGAGTAGCCATGGTCATCATGATCTTGTCTCTTTTCCCGATTACATGTTATTTTTATAACATTTCCCAACAAAAATTATGGTTTTCACTTAAATAAATAAACTTGATTTCATCATCCATATGTTAATCAAGATCAAGATGTCATGATACATAACGGGTATTACAATCCTGATCTTCCTACATTATTCCTAATCTAAAACTTAAGCAACCCATGATCAATAACTACTAATACTTAAAAGTTCAGCATTGAAAATGGCTCAAGGAAAATTATAGTTTCTTCGACTGCAATTTTCGCCAAGTTAGATACAACAACTTTTTTCTAATCTTCAACAAACCCTGGTAATTCGATTTATTTTCAATTACATAAAAGATAAAACAAGGGCTCATAATCCAAATTCACAGTTATATCGTCATTACAAATGAGTTGTTATTTTAGGCAAAAGGGAATTAAAATAAACCAGAATGACGTACGAAAAATTCAAATCCATGACGAATTTGGGAAAAAAGGAAGAATTAACTCATCCGTTCCTATTCGATTGAATTATATACCTTCGCATTTCAGTAATTAAGATATGGACGTAATGAAATTAGAGGAAGACATATGCAGTCGAATTCAGTTATAGAAAGTGACATTAAAGCTGAAAAAATACTACTTCCATATCACGTAAAACTGGTGGATTACTGTAAGATTTCTACAAGCACTTCAAATTTTAAACCTTTACATCGAAAATTGCGGATAAACACCTTCAAGACATTTTTAAGTGCTGGTAAATTTGGTGACAGCCTTGGTACCTTCAGACACGGCATGTTTTGCCAATTCACCGGGAAGTACAAGTCTCACAGCGGTCTGAATTTCCCTGGAAGTGATGGTAGGCTTCTTGTTATACCTTGCGAGTTTTGAAGATTCCTGGGCCAGCTTCTCAAATATATCGTTGATGAATGAGTTCATGATACCCATAGCCTTTCCTGAAATTCCGATATCAGGATGAACCTGCTTCAGAACCTTGAATATATAGATCTTGTATGTCTCCACCGACTTCTTGTTCTTCTTCTTTTTCTTATCGGTCGTTGATGCATCCTTTGGTAGCTTCTTCCCCGCTTTTGGTTTCTTCTCTGCCGGAGCCTTTTCAGCGGCT